GCTACTGAAACAAGCCCTTTTATCCCAATGGTCTAGTGGTTGGGATTCTGACAAGGAAGCGGGGAAGCAGCGTGAGGAGAAGCGGAGAGGCTGCGCGAGGGACGTGTGAGAATAATACGAAGAAAAGGTAGGCATTTAAGATTAAGTGGGCCCAGGCTTAGTAGCCTAGGCCAAGGGGGTCGAGCTAGTTTGTACCAAGGAGGGAGAGTCGAGAGATGAGAGGAGAATGGATGTTCACTATAGCACTAGGGCAAACAAAGAGGTGCACCACCTATAAAGTTAATATCTACACTACAGCTAGAACTACATGCAGGTATAAGAATATAATTCTGACATCCCCCCGTAACTGCATGCAGGAATAGCTAAGTGCTGAACACAACCTGCAGGGGTACACCGCAGACAGAGAAAACAGCAACAGCAAGCAAGGCAACAGAGCAGGTACAGTAGGAAAGGGGCAGGCACTCCTGCCACCCCTTTACTCTCCTCTCCCCCCCCCCCCCCCCACCCCAGAGGGACGGCGGCTGGTTGGTCTCACACCCGCCACCCCAGTGCCACTCCCGTGGCTCCCCCGCACCCTCACACCCTCCCCCCCAGCGGCAGCTGCAGCAGTGGGAACGAAAGGAGGAGGAGGGGAAGGGAAACACACCACCCATCACCCCCACACCCGCCACCCCTAGACCCTCCCCCCCACGGCTGCAGGGAGACGAAGGAGGGGAGGGGGCGGGGATAAAGCCGCAGAGCGGCTACAGAGGGTCGGCGCGGGTAGGGCAGGGGCGGCTGCAGCGAGTGCAGGCGCGGGGTGAGGTAGAGGCGCCGTCGTGGGCGCCAGGGGCGGGTCCACAGCGGCTCAGGGTGTGAAGAAATGAGGAATGAAAGAAGAGAGGAGGGGGTTCACTAGCAAACATTGGGATACATATAGCAAACCCTAAAAGGGTTGTACTCACTATAGAGTACCCCACTCCGGACTAGAGAAACATAATATTCTCACACACCCCCATAATCAAAGTGGGGTGTAATCAGCACAACAAGCAAAGCAGAACAAGCTCAGGGTGGATCACAATGTCACCACACATTCTGAGCACAAGTACAAGAAGCAACAGTTTAAAGTTCACAAATGTAAGCAAAGCTAGAGGCTATCGCAGAGGGCAAGTGTGGAGTAGGAGGGACTATGAGAGGAGAGGAGAGGAGGTAGTTGGCGGCAGCTGAAGCTGCTGGCACACGGCGCAACTGGAGCAACTGGCACACGGGCAACTGGAGCAACTGGCACACTGGCAACTGGAGCAAGTGGCACACGGGCTACTGGAGTAACTGGCTCCGCGGCTAACTCTGAGCGGCAGGAGCAACGGACTCACGGGCGACTGGAGCAATGGGCTCACGGGCGACTGGCGCAACGGGCTCACGGGCGACTGGCGCAGCGGTCTCACGGGCGACTGGAGCTGCGGGCTTCACGGCGGCCACCCCCTTCAACCTCCCCAAACTATCCCACCCCCATTTCATACACCCCCTGCTGCACCCTAGGTTCACTCACACCCCACCCCCTAGCACCACTCCGTCGACTCCCACACACCCACCCCCCTCAGCGGCAGCTGCAGCAGTGGGAGACAGAGAAGGAGGAGGAGCAGGGGAGACCGCACACCCACCACCCCCTACTCGCCACCCCCAGACCCTAACACAGGGCAGGGCGGGACGGCGGGTAGGGTGGTTACGGGGGGGGGGGGGGGGGGCGATGCACGACCTCCCAGGGCGCCAAAACAGGCGGCAGAAGGGGCGGCGCTCGCCCCCCTCCCCCAGGTTGCGCGGCCCCCGAGGGAGCCGCGATGGGCGACGGGAAAAGAGGGGGGGGCGGTGCACGTGCCCCCGGTGCGCCGCGACTGGCGACGGAGCATGGCCGGGGCGGGGCCGGGGCAGGGTCGAGGAAGGGCCGAAAGGGGCAGCGACAGGGCCGCTGGAGGCGGCGACGGGGCCGATAGGGGCGGCGACGGGGCCGCTAGGGTCGGTGACGGGGCCGTTGGCGGCGGCGACGGGGCCGATAGAGGCGGCGACGGGGCCGCTAGGGTCGGCGACGGGGCCGCTGGCGGCGGCGATGGGGCCGATAGGGGCGGGACGGGGCCGCGAAGGGGCCGCGAGGGGCCTGAGAGGTCACCGACGGGGCCGCTGGCGGCGGCGACGGGGCCGATAGGGGCGGCGACGGGGCCGCGAAGGGGCCGCGAGGGGCCTGGAAGGGCGGCGACGGGCCGCGAAGGGGCCGCGAGGGGCCTGAAGGGGGCGGCAACGGGGCCGCGAAGGGGCCGCGAGGGGCCGAGAAGGGCGGCAACGGGGCCGCGAGGGGTGGCGACGGGGCCACTAAGGGTCGCGCGAGGGGCACGCCACGGGGCGTGCAGAACACAGAGTAGCAGCGGAAGCAGTTAGGTGGGCCCACAGGCCAGGAGCGTAGATGCTTTGATAGCATGTGAAGAAATGAGGAATGAAAGAAGAGAGGAGGGGGTTCACTAGCAAACATTGGGATACATATAGCAAACCCTAAAAGGGTTGTACTCACTATAGAGTACCCCACTGCAGACTAGAGAAACATAATATTCTGACACAGGGGACCGTCGCGGGCGCCAGGGGCGGGTCCGCGGCGGCACAGGGCACCGTCGCGGGCGCCAGGGACGGGTCCGCGGCGGCGCAGGGCACCGTCGCGGGCGCCAGGGGCGGGTCCGCGGCGGCTCAGGGCACCGTCGCGGGCGCCAGGGGCGGGTCCGCGGCGGCTCAGGGCGCCGTCGCGGGCGCCAGGGGCGGGTCCGTGACGGGCAGAAAAAACGTCACGCGCCACCCGGGCGCGAGACAGAACGAAAATCGCTACGCGCCCAAGGCGCGCGACCGAAAAAACAGCAGCGGAAGCGAGAGGCTGGCCCACAGGCCAGGACTTAACAAGCTCTAATACCATGTGAGAATAATATGAAGAAAAGGTAGATAGTTAAGATTAAGTGGGCCTAAGCTTAGTAGCCTAGGCCAAGGGGGTCGAGCTAGTTTGTACCAAGGAGGGAGAGTAGAGAGATGAGAGGAGAATGGATGTTCACTATAGCACTAGGGTACATAGAGCAAACATAGAGGTGCACCACCTGTAAAGTTAATAGCTACACTACAGCTAGAACTACATGCAGGTATAAGAATATATTCTGACAGGACGCGGAGAAGCAGCCGCGCGAGGAGAAGCGGGGATGCAACGCGAGGGATATGGAAGCAGCGCGAGGGGAAGCGGGGATGCAGCGTCAGGGTAAGCATGGAAGCAGCGCAAGGGGAAGCGACAATGCAGCGCGAGAGACGCGGAGAAGCAGCGCGAGGGGAAGCGGGGAAGCAACGCGAGAGGAAGCTGGGAAGCTGTGTGAGGGACGCGGAGAAGCAGCGCGAGTGGAAGCGGAGAAGCAAGGTGAGTGGAGGGAGGGTAGAATGAGGGAAGAGAACTGGGAGGGAAAGACGGATGTAACGTGAGTCGCCCTGCGTAAAAGACGAGAGCGCCGCTGTTGGGTAATTTCACTGGGTTGCAGGATCACGGGTCGTGATGCTAGAACGGGGCAGATGTTTGAACGTCTTCACACATTTTCGCATATGTTTTTTCTTCATTTCATTGCGGTCGCGCTTGACGGTTCTAATGAAGTTTTCAGTGCTTATTATCTACGATCGACGGGTGCAACTATCTTCAAGGCGCATGCTTTGTCCACCTGATACGAAATGCGCATGCTGGGTCTCCCGAAAATGAGCCCAGGTTCCTTGTAGGTTTTACTTTTTTTTTTCGAGCTGCCCTAATCGTTTCTGAGCTCGGAAAAGTGAAACGTATCGATAAAAAATGAACACGTGTCAAGAAGCGTGCATGGTAGGACCAAATTTGAACATAATGTGGGATATCGCACGAAAGAAAGCCCTTTTAATCCCACTGTTTGAGTGAACCCACGACAAATATGAAAGAATTAAGAAAACATAGTAGCTGACACATAAATTCCCCATCAATTTTGTTTTTTTAGCCACCTGAGATGACTTTTTGTGCGAAGTTCGTTCAGCTGCATTCCTCCGCCATTTCAGCACGCTTGTCTAGATCGTGGTGAGAGGAGAGGTGAGGAAGAGAGCGAGATGACCGTCCGATCCGATCCGAACCTACCTTCGCCAGAGGTCTCTACAACCTGCATCCCCACCCTAAGGTTAGGTAGGCAGCTGCAGGTTCTCCTTTCTGGTGACATCAGATCACAACAGCCCTCACCTAGCAACTCAGGCCTGTCCAGAAACGTTGTTACTGGTAGTCTGTGAGGTAGTTCGTGCTAGGGTTTCATCCTCAATCGCCTTGGTCAGAACCCTGGCTGAGCTTGAGCTTGGTGCTTGAGGCTGTCCTCTGGTTGTGCTGATGAAACCCTAGTTCTGGAAGCTTTCTGCATTGCTGGTTGCAGAACCTAACTTAGTCTGCTCGCTGTGACCTTCACGCCACGGTCCTCGAACAATCACTTGGTAGTTGAGAGTATCTGCTTGCTTGTAAATGCGAAACCCGCACTTAACTTCGACATTTTCACGTTGCCTGTTCCTCAACCTCATCATCCGTTAACAGCAATCGGATGCGCAGCAGGAGGGTTCTAACCGACTCGTCGTTCGATCTTTCCCTTACATCCTGGATAGAGTTTCTCGTACCCACGTTAGAGCGGCGTAAAATGACCATCCTTATTGTTGTCCGCACGACTCCCTAATTCGAGCACGCGTAAGTTGCTCACTGTTTTCAAAGCTCATGAAAGTTTTTTTCTAAGTTGCTTCTTAACCAGGCGTCATTTCGTTTTGCAGGTTGTGCATTTCCTTAACGAGACCTTTTTGTAGATTTAACTTATCGTTAACAGGGAGCTATTTATTGGGACGATAGTAGTTTCTTTGGACCTTAGCTCCGACTAGTTCCTGCGGGAGGACATCTGCCCTTCACAGAGCATCTGAGGAAAGGCAATTGCGTGAAATAGTTCAAAGTTTGGCAAGCTCGTTCAGTCACGATGGAAAGGGATGCTCAGCTGACCCGCCTGCGTGCTTGCACGTCGGAGCTGAAAGCCGCAGATCAGATTACTGCGGAGAAGAATACTTGCGACGCGCTCGGCCTCCTTCACCCGGATGGCCCTCGCTTCAAGGCCTGGAATGTGTACGTGATTTTTGTTGTGAAGTTTGTCCTCGCATTTTACGCCATGTTCATTCTTGGCCTGAACTCTCGTATCGAGCCTTCCGAGGTAACTGCTTTTCGTCTGAGGCTAACTGATTTTCGTTGTGAATGGATGACCTGATTTCCCGCGGCTGGTATTTTCTTCGCCTTTTACATGGCTTATCTCCTTCCCTCACTGACGGTCTTCTCGCTTCTCTCACGGCAGGCTCATTCACACGCTCGTCATGTGGTCGTCGTTCTGGGTGACTTTGGAGTTCGCGTTCATTCCGAACCCCTCCCCGGCGATTCTCTATTTCGACAGCGCTGTGTGTCTCGTCTTTATCGCCAATATCGGCGTCACCTTCAAAGCGGCCTTCCGCTCCAGCAAAACCCTTCGTCTCGTGACATCGAAGAAAGAGATCGTTATGCGGTATGCCTGACATATTTCCATTTCTTATTCCTTTTCGACCATTCTTAACCATCATCCACGCTTCGAGTACTCCAGAATACGGCCGACTCTTCCAAAACATTTACATCATGTCCATGTTCTCTTTCTATAGTGTTGCCATGGAACTAAGTCAACGCTCACTGTTGTTGCAGATACGCAAAAGGGGGTCTGCTTTTCGACGTATTGTCGTCCATTCCGCTCAACATGTTTTATTTCTGGGCTACCGGCCAGCCCGCTTCCGGAGCCCTTGGTTACGTCTTTCGGGGTCTTCCTTGCCTGCGGCTCTATCGTATCATCCATTTCTACCGTGCTCTCTCCGCGTGAGTATCCGGCGAATGGACAACTTCCATTGTATAGTGACCTTGCTGCAGTTTAGAGTTACTTGCTAATGCGCTTGCATCTGTCGAGATTTCATGGTCACGCTGCCATTTCGAAGTCATCCAGTCCGAGTTTATATCGGTGTTATTTCCGTCTGTTGCTTTGCAGGCTTGGGACGACCAGCCCCTCGGTGTATTTTTCTATTCGCATTTTCAAACTTGTGCTGGTGGGTGGCATGGAAGTTGAAGTAATAGTTTCGTTGCTCTCATTGTTGTACCATGTAGGATTAGTTTGCTGCCATATCGTCTTTTCTCTTCCCCCTGTCCTCCACTCTCCCCCGGTTTTAGCTCATTACGTCTCCTCTTTCCCATCCCTCCACACACTCCAATGTTCGTCCTTTCTTTCCCAACTGGCGTCGCGCGCATATCATCGTCTGGGGTCTCAACCTCCTTCAATCTGCCTCTCCTCCGTGCATGTACCTTTCCCCATGAACGCGCGCAGAACATCCTACTGGCGTCGCACTTCTTTGCCGTGGCCTACTTCTTCCTTACCCTCATGGAGCCCGACCCTGCAAACACCTGGATCGGCCAAGGCATCGGCCCCGACTGGCCCGACCAGGTACTTGCTTTGTCACGCACTGATGATCCTCTACCGCTCGAGGCTGAGAAACGTGATACGTTAATTTCAGTCAGACATGGACACTGAAGCGTCAGCGTCTTTGTTCTTCCGTGATCCTGCTCCCTTCTCCATCTATCGTTGATGCGAGTTGCCATCTGGTGCCGATTGGCAACCCATCATGTCGTCTTTCCCATCTCGCCCCTCCCCTTTACGCGCGGGAAGTGGTGGATAGGTGGTGTTCTTTTCTGTCAAAATCTTCAGTTGCTCTTTTTTCCCCCTCTCTTTGTTGTTCCCATCTGAGCAGTCCGTGTTCCTGCAATACGTGGCGGCGCTGTGGTGGTCCATCTTTGTCATCACCAGCATCGGCCCCGCCTACACCTCCGTCACCACAGCTGAGCAGATCTTCAGCTGCTTCTACGCGCTCTTCGGCATGGCAACTGTAGGTTCTTGCATCTAGCATGGGCATTTGAATTTAGTGTTTCAGACTCTTTCTGTTTCAGGCTTCTTGTCCTTTTCAAGGTCGTTGTTTTCAATGAGTTTTTGTGTCCTGTGTCTGTTTGTGTGAGCAGCTGGCGTACACCCTTGGAACACTGACGCTGCTCATGGTCAAGCAATCCAGCAAGACCATGCAATTCGTATGTTGCAACTGTTCCACCTTCATGCTCGTTTGTCGTCTTCGTTTTGTTGTATCCTTGGGCTCTCCGCTTGGTTCTCTTCTGTGGCCTGCAGCACAGACTTCCATTTGTTGTGATCCTTTCACAGCACGAGGACATGGCGGCTCTCAAGGCCTATGTCGCGCGCACCAACCTACCTGCGGATGTGGAGCGGCAGCTGAAGCAGCAGCTGCGCGTGCAGCTGCACATGCACAAGTCCGACGCCTCCTCCTTTCTCTCCAGCATCCCCCAGCACCTGCGAGTCACCGTCTCCCGCCAGCTCTACCTCCCCATCGTCGAAAACCTTGAAGGCTTCCGCCTCTGCTCCAAGCCCTTTCTCAACCAGCTGGTGGGTTCACGCGGTCATTTTCCGGTAGTCCGGTTGCCTGTTCTTACCTCTGTCATTTCTTTTCTTTTCTGCACGCCATGAGATTTCACCGATCGATTGCAGACAGTGACGCAGCTTCCTGTTCTTGCTGTTCTGCTGAAGTCACCAGGTGTCAGAGATGAACGTGTTTACGGTCCCTTGTTTATTTTGAACGTTTTTGCTGTTCCTTGTTGCTTAGAAATGCGTTTCCTATCCGGTGTTGTTGTTCAACTGAGCTGCACCAGGTGTCTGAGATGAACGTGGAAACGGTCATGCGCAATGACATTGTGACATGGGAGGGCGACGTGTCAACCCATCTCTACATTGTGCTCTCTGGCAAACTCGTTCGTGAGGATGGACCTGCATCAGCCCTCCAGAGCGGGGTGGGTTTTGTCAAACCTTTTTCGTCCGAGCCTGCTCGTGCTCGTCTGATATTTCCTGTGTGTGCTCCTTTGGAAATGTGACTTCAATTGAAACTTCAAATTTTCTGGCTTCCGTTTTCATTTGTTGCAGTTGCTGTGTCACTGCTGTCGTGGCGTCCCTTGTGGTGCTTTTCCATCCTGACAGCGGGGTCGTCCTTTCCGTTTTCTAAGAGAAGCTGGCTTATTGACCCTGCGTCTGTTTACCCTGCTTTTTTTGCTGTGTCATTACTCCTGTGGCGTTCCCTGCAGTGCTCTTCCTTCCTGACGGCAGGGTCGGTGTTTGGCAAGACAGCCGTGATGTGCGACGTGCCGCAGCTCTTCACAGTGCGAGCGTTGGAGCACAGCCAGCTGCTGCGCCTCTCCAAGTCCGCCTTCACCACCATCGCCCAGGCCTACCCTGCTGACTCCACTGTCCTCTACTCCGCCCTCAAGCAGGTAATTTCGCATGTGTAGTATACAAACTCGCGTCTGTCATGTTGAGTGTGCGTAGTCTAATTCAGTTGGCCCCTCTCGTGAGACGATTGGACTTTTGACCTGCCGTTTACCTCAGAATGGTTGCACAGACAATGTGTTAAGTTATCGTCTCTTCTCTCCATGCCCTTGACGCAGAATATTGATGGCTCAGGTGCTCTTACCCGCACGCCCTCAGAGCTCGCAGTCTCACAGGGCCTGGCCCGCTCACAGCCCTCATGGAAGGCCCTTGGCGCCACCCCAGAGGAGCCTGCTATGGGGTCGGCTGGCCAGGTGGTGCTGGAGTCTGTAGCTGTGGACAACGGGGAGGCCGATCAGGTTGCAAGGTATGCAGTCGATCCAATGTCTATTTACCTGTTGCGTGTGCTTGGCTGTTGCCACTGGCTGTGTCAATAGCTGCTTGGATGCTGACGTGCTTTCTTTCTTTCAGCATGAGAAGTTTTCTCCCCAATCCGCTTCGCATATTGCCATGCACGGGCTGTGATGCTGCCACTGGTCATGTGGGCCAGGCTCAAACGTTTCTGTATCATTCCTTTCCTGCATATCGGCCCCTCACAGGGTATGTTCCGCTGCTGCCTCTGGCCGTGTGGACCAGTTGAACGACTTGCTCTCAGCTTCACCTTGCCTTGCCCACTGCCGTGACTACAATGGCCGCACCCCCCTGGTATGCAGATGGTGGTTTGTCAGTTACGCTTTCAGCTACAGAGTTGTAGGGGTTTGTCAGATACATTCTTTTTCACCTCCTATTTGTTCCTTTGGATGCAGTCCTTCGCGCAGAGCAGGATAAGTACACTCTTTTGCCAGCTGAAGTACTTTTTTTGTTTCCTTCTCGTGAGTGCAGCATGTGGCAGCCGCCCACGGGCACGTCAGCTGCATCAATGCCATTCTGCAGCGCAACAGTGTCGATGTGAACGCCCTCGGTGAGTGTTCCTTTAGGCACGAAATGTTCCCTTTGGACGTGCATAGTCAATTCCATTACTCAGATATGTATTGTTGCCTCTTGCTGTACACCTCAGATGGCGGCGCTTCAGCCCCTCTCTTAAAGGCAGCGAAACCTGAACGTCCGTTTTCTGCCCTCCCTCTCCCTCTCCCTATCCTCTGCAGATCGTAGTGGTGCCACTCCTCTGCTGGAGGCAGTGAAGAACGGCCACACCAAGGCAGCAGAGGCACTGCAGGCAGCAGGCGCAGCACTCCTCCTCAAGGACCCGGGGGCGACGCTCTGCCGCCTCGCTGCATCCGCAGCCACAGAAGCCACCACCACCACCAATGCGAGTGCCATTGCTGGTGGCGGCTCCCCGCAGAAAGCTGGCAGCGCCTTGGGTGCCGCGAGCAAGAGGGGCGGCAGCAGTGTGGAGTATCTGAAGAGGCTGCTGGCGGCAGGAGCAGACGTGAATGCGCAGGACCATGCTGGCTGCACTGCCCTGCATGTTGCCTGCGCCAACCGCAGCATTGCTGTTGCCAAGGTAGGGCTCTTCTTGGTCGCAGATGTGCGTTGAGCCACTGTGTCAAGTCTAATTGGTGGCACAACTTTTAAGTGTTCATCCCACTGTGTTCCCACTGTTCAGAGTCCTAAATATTGTGTGTTTTTCCTTGTACTTTCTTTCCATTCCCAAACTCCTTATGCAGCTCCTCAAGGCTCATGGTGCCGACCCCCATCTCGAGGATATGAGTGGCAACACTGCCTATGACTTGGCCAAGGCAGGCGGGTCTGGGGACCTGCTGAATGAGCTGGACAGCCAGCCACCCACCCCAACGCAGGGTGCCTTTGCTGGCACCTGTGTGAGCGTGTGCAGGCCCAGCCTTTTCGAAGGCCTGCACTAGACAGATTTGGGTAGCATGATTAAATTAGGTGTGCATCTGCGTCCGTTTTGCCATTCACGGTGAAACACTCCAGGGCAGGCAAGTTACACATTGGCGTGCATATTGATTATATCATATTTGGCTACCTGCAGATGTGAATTTCGTTTTCTATTTTGGGTTTCTGTACCTTAGCTGTGTGGCATGTAGATTCCATGGATCCATTAACGAATGCTCAGCTGGCCCGTAACATAATCCCACTCCAAGCTCAGTTTTTTTGGTGTGTGGGTGCCTAAACCGAATCCCCTGAGCGCACCACTATGTTGTGATGCAGGCGCGCTACTTGGTGTGACACGATATGTGTTGATGCTGTCAATTATCAGTCTGACACTGTGATTGTCTCTGTTTAGGGTTTGGGTAACAAGTCCAGTAAAACCTAGGCTAATGATGTTTCTTCGCGTCTACGCGCATCTCATCCGTCCATTTCGACCGATATGGACGAGGTTGCAGAATGTATTTTGATCGCCTTTTCACCCTACGTACATCGGGCACGTGCGTTCACGTGATAAAACTTTGCGTGTTTCTTTCTAACGCATTTGCTCAGTTCCGTGCATTTCCGTTCGTGCATCTCTTCTGCTCCCTTCGGCACTGTAGCGTTTTTGTGACTGAAGGGAGCAGTAGAAAGGATGCACAGTGTCTGTATACAGCAGAGCAACCCGTCCCTCCTTACCTCACCCTACCTTCCCAGCACACAGCTCTTATTTCCAGCTCAGCAGACTTGGCGTCTGCTTCCGCGACGTTTCTTGGGTTAATTGAATAACAGATCTGATTCCACCACGACGTCACATGACGCCATCGTTATGTTGCCGGCTTTATTACTCTAAAGCCTAGACATGTCCAGGAGTTCGTCTTGTCTCCGACATGCGAGCCCGTCGTCGTCACCCCTGGCACGCGCGAGGCGCCAGGGGTGCAATTCGGTGACAGAAGGAAACGCAGCCTGCTCTCCCGCGGGGATGCCAGGCTTAGTTGGTGTTTTCGCTGATTCACGTGAACAAACCACACAGCGTCTTTTCACGTGATTCGGAATAAGCATGACTGTTCGAGCAAACCACAGGTTGTACCAGTAGTACTGTAACTGTAATCGTTTGCTAGCCGTTGCAGCGATGTTCGCTCGCACCCTATCAGACTGATTTTGGATCGGAGAAGGTAACAACTTGAGAACGGTCCATACATCACCGATTCCAGCCTTACTGGAGTGCATCCCCATTGCCAGAATTCTGTATGTACTTTCAGCATTCCATTGGCAAACCCTAAACAATGTTTCGCCGGTTTTTCTGTTGAGAAGGACAGCGGATTTGCGGTATCCGTCCCGGAAAAAAAAGTTATTTTTGCGGAATGAGGACAAAACAAGGGGTCAGGGGCCTTGTTGTAGGGCACGCCCTGCTTCGCAGGCTGTCTACCCTTCCAGTTTTGTCAGAACGCTAATATTAGGACCGCCATGTATATAGGCGGCGTGTACCGCCTTAGAGGACTAGCACTAAGCCATCTACCAGCTGCACTGGAATGACTATTAGTAATATCAGTGTTCCAATACTTCAAGGTGATATGCGTGCACGAAAGCGCGTCCTTCCAGACAAAAAGGTGCATGAATTTGGTGTTCAGAGTCTCTCCAAAAAGCGCAGCAATAGCTTGACTCTTCAGAGTTTAGCTTTAGTCTTTCTGAAGTTCAGTTCAACTACCACCAGAGCTCGAGCCGCCTTAACCTTTTCCGGTTCATTCATGCATCTGACAGGGCTCTGCCATGGTTTTTAGAGCATGATAACTCAAGAGTAGCATGATAAAAGCAGGAGAGATATTACAACACCGAGTAACCCCCTTCAACATCAGCACAGTTCCAAGCCCACCACCTCCTGGTTCCAACGGTTCCTTATTCACATACTTCAAAGCCAGCACGTGACCACCTCTGGCTGGCCCCGCAGAGACTCTCGCATAGAACCGGCAGTGGAGCTTTCTCAACCGCCCAGACCCGTTCGAGGTTCGAGGTTCTATAATTAATTCTATAGATCATTCGGGAACTCTTAGTAGGCTTGCTGCGGATCGAAACCAGAAACGGTTGGTTTCAACCGGAATGCTCAAGCATCGAAGATCACGCTCAAGGTTCGAGATATACCGGCTGGGAGGTGTCAAGTCAAGCACCAAAGGTCTCAGGCAGGCCTTGAGAATGGTGGCGCGGTCTCGGCACGCGGGTCACCTGTGGACTGCGGAGGTAAGCGGCTTGTTAATTGAAGCAAGCATGACCCTAGCACTTGTACCTCAGTCTTCCCTTGCTCATCCCTCCTCTTTCCCTCCTCTTGCTCATCCCTCCTCTTTCCCTCCTCTTGCACATCCCTCCTCTTTCCCTCCTCTTGCTCATCGCTCCTTTTGCTCATATTTGCTCTTGCTCATCGTTCCCCTCTTGCTTTGAATTACCTTCATTGAAAAATCTTCCCTTTCCTTCCACCCCGCTTCTTGGGTCTAGAAAGACCGCTTCCTGTTTGCTTCTGCTGCTGCTGCTGTTTCTGCTGCTGTTGCTGCTGCTGCTGTTTCTGCTGCTGCTGCTGCTGCTGCTGCTGCTGCTGCTGCTGCTGCTGCTGCTGCTGCTGCTGCTGCTGCTGCTGCTGCTGCTGCTGCTGCTGCTGCTGCTGCTGCTGCTGCTGCTGCTGCTGCTGCTGCTGCTGCTGCTGCTGCTGCTGCTGCTGCTGCTGCTGCTGCTGCTGCTGCTGCTGCTGCTGCTGCACGTGCCGCATCGCAGCATTCTGCCACATTGCTTCACTTCAAGCCTCCTCTCTCCTACCTCTCAACCCTTTCAGGAGGACAGCAAGCTTCTCCTGCACGTAGCAGCACGTGCTGCACATCCTTCCTCTTCTGCCTTATTTGAATCTCAGGACCGCAAGCTGCTGCTGCACGTGGCAGCACATGTTGCTATTGAATCATATATATATATATATATATATATATATATATATATATGTCATTTTCTCCCTCCCTTTCTTTTGAATCCCAGGAGGACCGCAAGCTGCTGCTGCACGTGGCAGCGCACGGCACGAGACAATGGAGAGGCGTTGTCAACGCGGGGCTACTGCCAGGCCGGGACAGCAAGGCATGCTGCAACCGATTCATCGTCCTAAAGAGGTACCTCCTCTTGGCATTTTGTTTTTTTTCGTAGTTCCATATGCGATTCAAGGCCCCATTGCTGAGGGAGGAGACTGTTTCGAGACGTCTCAAAACTAGGCTGTTAGCAGTGTTGTGTTTGATAATGGGGATGGCTGGATGGTCAGACTGTTAGCAGTGTTGTGTTTGATAATGGGGATGGCTGGATGGTCGGACTTCATCTTGCCATGCTTGAGCGCTGCCTCTCTTCACACCCAAGTTTTCGAGATGTTTTACCCTTCTCTTTATCCTGCGCAGAAGCTGACTTGTTGTGCCGATTTTGTGCTTTACACACTTACAGGCGTTCGCTTGTGCTCTAAGATGCTGCGAGCTTTACGACGTTGTTATCCTCTGCAAGCCTGCATGCATCTTCCCTTTCCTCATTACACTGCTGATTGCAACGCCTTCTTGTTTCCCTGAGGCCGAAAAGTGCCTGGAATTCCTTATGTTTTTTTTAGAATTCTCAAAAAGCATACGTCGATGCCGAAGCACTTCTCTGTGAGGCTCCACCCTAAGGTCTCTAATGCCTTCGTTGTTTTCCATTTCCCCTGTCAATCGGCACAGAAAGTTCTTCAAACGCCAAGAGCAGCTGCTTCATCAGTCCGAAGCAGCACCACAGGTGATTACTGGCATTGCAGCTTGCTGGGGTTCAAACTTCGAACCTTTTCTAACTCGCTGCCTGCTGAAATTATCCGCTTTTGGGCTTTCTTGTTTTTGCCGCACCTCATTCAATTTACCTCAACTGCCGTCCATGCTCTCATTTTACACTTCTAGTCTGTCTCCAAAGCTGGCGTGCCCTTTTCTTTTCTCCCTTCTGCTTTGCGTTTGTGGTCCCTTCTAACCCTACTGCCTGGATGCACTTTTTGAGACGTCTCAAGAGCCGTTTTCTCTTCCCTTTCTTTGTTCCTCGTCCCTTCCAGCTGCAGCTGCACTGCTCCAGTCTGCTCGCTGCTGCTTCCGGGGCCGCTTGTGCAGAAGCGAATTCGGAGGATGGTGTGACTCAAGATGAGGTTATGGGCGGCAGCATGCGTCATGATGAGGCTACGGGCGGCAGCACGCGTCATGATGAGACCAAGGGCGGCAGCACCGGTGACATGATCGCTGGTGATGGCATTCCCTTCCCGGTTGATTACCATGGGATGGCGGGAGGATGCGTGCTGCATGGCAGCACTGGTGACAGCATCGCTGGTGACGGCATTTCCTTCTCAGAGCATCATGTTGAGATGGCGGGAGGATGCGTGCTGCATGGCGGTTCTATGAGTGATGGCATTGTTGATTATGGCACAGCTGGTGTTGGCATCGCCAGTGACGGCATTGCCAGTGATGGATCCACATGTGTCTCCTTCCCGGCGCATCACACAGAGACGACGGGAGGAGGCGTGCTGCATGGCTGCACGAGTGGTGGCATTGCTGATTGTGGCCCAACTGGTGTCGGCGTTGCCAGTGACAACACCACCAGTGACTGCATAACATGTGGCTCCTTCCCCTTCCCAGCACATTGCATAGAGACGACGGGAGGGGGCATGATGCATGGCGGCACAAAGGGTGGCACCGTCAGTGTCGGCATGGCATGTGCCTCCTTCCCAGTGCATGATGCTGAGATGCGGGGAGGGGGCATGCTGCATGGTGGCACGAGTTATGGCACAACTAATGATGGCAATGCTAATGATGGAGGAATTGTCAGCAATGGCATTCAAACAGTGGGACCGCCGCCATGCCTACTGCTGCCACAAGGGGACATGCCGCCCCGCCTCGTGCCGTCACACTCCCTCCTCCCAACACACTCACTCCTCCCAACACACTCCCTCCCATCACATTTCTTCCGAGCGCACTCCTTACCATCACGCCTCCTGCCATCTCACTCCATCCCATCCCACTCCCTCCCATCGCACTCCCTCCCATCGCACTCCCTCCCATCGCACTCCGTACCCGAGCGCCTATTGTCATCCCACTCCCTCCCATCGCATTCCCTCTCAACACCCTTCCACCCTTCAGACTCCCTCTCACCACCCTCTCTCCCATCACACTCCCTCCCATCACACTCTCGCCCATCACACCTCCTGCCATCACGCCAACTGCATGGGCTACCCCCACACATGTGGGGTTACATTCCTGGATTTTCTGGGGAAGTTCGTGAGACGCCTCACAATTCACGTCAGTTGCGGGGTCTACCCCCCCACATGTGGGATTACATCCCCGAAACTTCTGGGGAAACACACACATGGGACTGCCAGCCGAGTCCCTTCCTTCATCCTGCATCACCACATGCTATTCGTGGCCATTCTCTCAGCCTGCCTGCTGAGTTTGGAAGCAGCATGTGGGATTCAACGCAGTCAACGCAGTCAATGCAGTCAATGCAGTCAGTGCAGCCAATGCAGCCAATGCAGTCAATGCAGTCAATGCAGTCAATGCAGCCAGCGCAGCCAGTGCAGTCAATGCAGCCAGTGCAGTACACGCCGTCAACAGAGGTCTTTCTGAAGGCGACTCAAGGAAGGGCAACAGAGGACCCCGAATCTCTCCCATTCATGGAGCTATTTGCATCCCCTTCACACATGATTGCATCACTTTCACCCGTGCTGGTCCCAGTGTCTTCACTGGCTGCAGCAGCAACGGTGCCAGCAGCATCAGTGCCAGCAGAAGAAACTGTAGCACCCGCATCAGTAGCAGCAGTGCCTTCACTGTCAGCAGCAGCAACAGTGCCAGCAGTGGCAGCAACAATGACAGAAGCAGCAGCAGAAACAATGCCAGCGATAGCAGCAGGGGCATCATCATTACCATCAGGTGCTGCAGCAGGAGTAGCAGCAGGAGGAGGAGCAGGAGGAGCAGCAGGAGGAGCAGCAGGAGTAGCAGCAGCACCAGCACTGGCAATGGCAGCAGCAGCAGCAACAGTTGACCGTTGGGTTTCAGAATATTGCAAGGCTGACACGAACCGTCAGCTGTTCCAAGTATGGGACGCACTCACGCCTGCAGCACCCACATCTCCCTCCCTTCACCATCCCATTCCCCATCCCCCAAGGCACAACTCCCTGTCACCGCGCATGCATGGTGGCAGCGAGAATGACACGGACGAGAAGGGCACTAGCACGGGCGTGGATGTGGGCAATAGCATGGATGAGGGCATGGGCATGCGCATGTGGAGTGGCACTATCACGGGCATGGATGTGGTCATGCACATGCATGTGGGCGTGGGCATGGGCATGGCCGAAGGCATAAGCAAGGGCGTAGATGAGGAGAAGAGCAAGGGTGTGGATATGGGCATGTATGCTGCCATGGACGAGGGTATGATGAAGTGCGTGGGCATGGGCATGGTTGAAGGCATGCGCGATGGCATGGATGTGGGCATGCTTAAGGCCATGCACGAGGGTATGGGCATAATTGAGTGTGTGGGCATGGGCATGGTGCGAGGCATGCCCGAGGGCATGCGTGAGGGCATGGGCATGGGCATGGGCATGGTGGGAGGCACCAGCAAGGGTACGGATGAGGGCATTGGCGTAGCCATGGCTGAAGGCATGATCACGAGCATGAACGATGTCAAGAGCAAGGAAATAGGCACGGGCATGAGCACCCAGAGTACACCTGAATGCATGCATGATTCGAGCTGCAGAAGCCAAGGCCGTAGCCATTCTTGGTTCTCTGCTGATCTGCATTTGCAGCAGGAGCCACAGGTCCTTTCCAGCAGAAGCGGAGCCTCAGAGCCTGATGGGTTGATGCGTGGGACAGCCTTTGTGACGACTCGAAAGGGAGTCCAGTTCAGTAGGAGCATAGCATTGGAGGCTGATGGGTCCCTGCATGGTAATCTAAAGAATTCCCGGGAAGAAGTGCAGCCAGATGGATCGCTGCATGTGAGTTTGCGGCCAGATGAGCTTCTTGAGGCGATGTGCGGGGGACAATATTTCTAGGGGGAAAAAGCCAATGAGAAAACTTGTGCATATTTGTATTATATAGCTTGATTGGTTTTTACTCCACTGCTTTATAATGAACTTGTGGTTGCAAACTGCAACCTTACATCATGACAGTATATTAAAGTGCAAGCTGCATTCATCCGTAGCAATCTGTTCTTTATCTTTACTGCATGTCTAGGTTGACAATTGGACACGTGAAGTTGGTCAATAAGTCGAATGAACATATGACTTTCGGTATCAACACCATTCTTGAATTCCCCATACTCGTTTCTGGAGATGGGTGGTTTACAGAGAGGGGTGGGGAGGGGTAGAGGGTAACGAACTGTGACAGTATGGGCAGCAGGGACGTCGCTAGGATCTGAGGCAGCCTGATGGAGCAGACGGGCCCTTCGGGCCCGTCTGCTTCATCAGTGGGCTGAGTGATGCCCTGTTTGGTGGATCAGGATTTTCCAAAATCTCTGTCTGATCTGTCAGATCTTAAAGCACTGGCTTGTCTGTTTTTTTTTTTTTTTTTTGGGTTGCATTGCATCAACTCTAGCAGAAGTTAAAGCTTCATCAATACTACGGTAAAAGAACTATCAAATAAAAAATTATGTAACTACTGGTGAGGTGTTATTACACTACAAATTACATCTACTCTAGTCTAGTCTACTCAGTGTCAGACTCTACTATCGTGGCGCGGACATCAAGCCCATTGTCATCATCACTGTCGTCCGACACTGCTACAGCTGCACGTGGTTTGCCCTTCTTAGAGGTCCTCCGCCTGACCACGTCCTCCTCATCATCTTCGTCTTCATTGGAGGCAGCAGCTGACGTTCCTCTCTCGGCCTTCCGCTTTGGGGCTCTCTCTGGAGTGTTCTTCTTGGTCGTCACTTCCTTAGCAGGGCGCCTCTTCTTTGCCCCCCTCCAAGCAGCCACCACGTCCTCCCAGTTCGGCTCGTACTGCAGGAGCGATACCGACATCAGGTCCGCCAGGCGTGTGTTGCACAGATTCCCGCGGAGCCACGATTTGATGATGTTTTGCCTCGAGAAGCCGCGCTCGCACTCGACGGTGCTCAGCGGCAGCACGGCGAGGGCGATCCAGATGCGGACCATGTTGGGGTAGCTCGTCTCCCAGTCGTCGCTGCGCAACATGTGCTTGAGGCCGGCGTGGAAGGTCTGGTCCTTGTACTGCGAGGCCATCATCTTGGTAAACGGCACCAGTTCTCGTCCCGCCTTTTTCCAGCTCACTCCTGCTCACGCACAATTGCAAGTACAAGAGGGGCGGGGGCCAACGGGGAGATAAGTCAGTGGCGGTACCATATCACCAAGCGTGTAACATTGACGCACAACAGAGACGCACAGATTACCTGGAAGTACGCACTTCTCCGCACTGAACAGCGTGCGGAGAGACTGGAACCAGGCTTGGCAGAGGCGGTCTCTCTTCGCGCTTCCCTCGGGGTACGCGTCAGGCAGGAAAAGCTTCGCTCCGGTGAGGGTGTCTAGGCTCTCCATCCGCTTCAGGAGGTGCTTCACAACTTCCTGCGCAAACAGGCGGGTTACAGTGATGCATGATTCTATGTCGCCTTTTGACTTCTGTCCCTTGATGGCGTCCTCGTGCAGCATGAAAGTGTGTTTAACGGGACTTCCCTCCCCATCCATGCCTTCGACCGTCACCTCCCGCTTGTCCAACGCTCCGTGCTTCTCCATGAACTCGGTGAGCAACTCGCTATCCTCAGCGTAGTTGACGCCGTGCTCGATGTATCGCTGCTTCAGGTTGTCGCACGTGTTGTGGACCATTGATGCCACCCGGGTGATGTCCACCTGCACAAGGCAAGAAGCCAACGTCAGACACGTTCGAGTGCATGAACATCAGCACGGACCTCTCTACTGCTCACCATGCGCCGTTGAAACTTGAGGTTCAGCTCGTTGAGCAGTTTCAGCACATCTGCCAGGAAAAACAGGAAGAAGTGGAACTTGAAACTCGAGACTGTCTTGTAGGCCTTCTTGTCTTGCTCCCACAACACCACTATCGCCGCCGGTAGGACTTCCACGAGCCTCCGAATCGCATCGCCACGCGCCAGCCATCGAACGTCTTTAAAACCCTGCACCTCCAGAGACGTCTCGTGCAGGATGTGTTGTAGCTCCATGAACCGGGAGTGCAAGACGATGCTCCTCCCCAAGTTCTCTGCGATGCTCCGCACGACCGTGTCGACCATGCTGAGGTCGGGCAACGCCTCCGCCGCGTCCTTCGCGGCGAGAGCCTCCCTGCAAGTGTGCAAAAAGAAGCGGTTAGAACACTGAAAAACGTCTGACAACAAGATCATACACCACCGCCAGAGAGATTTTGTCATCGCACCTGTGAGCGATGCAGTGGCACGTCACCAGGTGTGGGACTCGCAGTTTCAGCTGGGTTGCCACTCCAGCCTGTGAACCCCGCATCACGCTCGCGCCATCCGTACTGATGCCCGTCCGTTTCATGATGTCGACGCCCGTCACGGCCAAATGGGCGAGAAGTACTGTCAGCAGAGACGACGCGTCGCACTTCTCGACTGTCAGGTGCCCAAACAGCTCGGTGACGACCTCGGCGTCGCGAATGAAGCTAAGATAGACTATCATGTGCTTGCCTCTGCGCCGGTCGGTACTCTCGTCGAGTTGAATTCCTAAGAACGGAGACGCCTGGATGTGGCGCATCTGCTGCTGCCTCAGGTTGGTGACGATCGCTTCGGTAATTTCACGGAAGCCGTACCTGCACAACACAGTGAAGGTGGTATTAGTCGTAGTGACAATAAAAACACAAACCAAGAAAGACTTTCACTCACGCTGACTGGTATGTCCCTATGGACTTGTCCGGGATGTGCGGCGTCTGAAGCTCACCCAACAGGCGAACAAGATCAATAAACAGGGAGATGGGGGAATCGGATTTGCAGATAAATAGCATGACCAGCATCAGTTGTTTCAACTGAGAAGTCTCGTTGTCGTCGTTTTCGAACTGCTCAATGCCCCTCTGTGCAACCTTACCGCCTTCGGCGCGAAGCTTGGCTTTGACTGCGTCTTGATGCTTGAGGCTGAGCGCGTGCTTCCGCATTGTTTGCCGCTGGATATCAACGCCACCTTCGCCGTATTTACCAAACTTCCAGTGGGCTGGACCGTGAGCCATGCATATACTGCACTTCATGCACGGCGTCCCGTCCTTCCTCTGCGTGATAATCAGCCACTTGAATTTGTCGCGCCAAAATTCCTTGGACAGCTCGTGGAGCTTCTCCATAAGCGCGTCTGGATCAGGGACGTGGATGGTGCTCCTGGAAGGCCCAGGATCACCTGTGGGATGAGCTGCTGGTGCTGTTGATGCAGGAGCAGCCTCAACTCTAGGCTCTGGCGTGGGTCCTGACACGATGCGGACGTGAGGAACCCCCGTCTTTGCAATACGCAGCGTGCTCTGGGTATATCGGCCTGCCTTTGAGAATCGTCCCACGGCAGTACCACGTGAAGTGCTAGGCGCCGCTTGCGATCTAGGATTAGCTCTAATCCGTGCAGAGGTACTAGGGGAGACAGGCGGTGTGCTACTGAAAGCCCGTCTAGCATTAACAGCAGGCCAGTCTACAGGAGCGACATCCTGCCGATTCGGGGAAGAAGACGGTGGTACGCGTGTCGGCGAAGAGGCGCCTAACACGGCGGCTGGCTGGGAACGGCGTAGGAAATCGAGGCCCGTGACAGGTGGTTTGGGCCGTGGGGTGGGTGATTCGGCAGTTTCCGTGTCGTCCGCCATGGCGAGAGGGCGGACTTACGTGACTAAGGCGATAACCGTCTGCAATCGCTGTGAAAATGGCTAGGTAGGGCGTTTGCAAGAGGAGGCTGGAGAAGAAGGACCCCCCCGAAACCCCAACGCCCGACCACAGAGCCCTGTTGACGAACCGCGCATGGCTCCCGAAAACTGTGGGTGGCACCACTTGACTGTGGTGAACCCAAACCGCGCTTCCCGAACCTTCGGCAGGCGCCGAAATTGTGGGTTTGTGGTGCTGGATTGATGACTGTTGTACTAAACTAGCCAATCCCACACTTGTGGCAGGCCACGTACGATAGAAACACGTGGGAACACGGGGGGCGGCGTGCATGATGCATACACTCCGGTAATCACGGCAAAACACCCACACCACGCCTTGCTCACGCGTGAATCACGCCTAAGGGTAGAAAGATTCGGTAACAGACTAAACCCGAAAGTACTCCTGATGTATCAGAGGAACATGGAAAACGTTTCTGATGGGTCTGATATAGCAAAAAAGCATTTCTGAATGAACAGATTTCACTAAGTCCTGATTTATGAATTATCAGATTAAATCAAAAAGTTACCCTCCAATATAGGACAAACAGACAAAGAATTTCTGCTAGCGACGTCCCTGATGGGCAGGGGCCGGGAGAAAGGGTGGAGAAGCCTAGTGGGCATGGCCAACATTCCAATCAAGGTGGAGTGTGTCAAGGGGAACTGCGGGACAGTAGAGGGAGGCTCGCTGTAAACACCTACGGTATGTGAGGACAGGCCCGTTTAGCACATCAACTAAGGTGAGGAAGTTTGTAAGCCATGGTTTCGACTTGTTTGACAATGTTTGTTCTTTTGGCGGAGATTTGGTGGAGAGGGAAGAAACGCCGAGAAAGTTAGTGAGGGCTGTTGGCTAGTTCTCAAAGAGTGAATGCAGAAGAGGCCAGGCTGCAAGGCGGTGCATGCCTGGTGGACCTAAGGACCACAAATCCTGCAGACCAACACAGTTAGCAATGCCGGATCGCGGCCAGTCGCAAGGACTAGGCATATTAGAGTGCATGGCTGGGTAG